GAGGGAGAAAGTTCTACCCCAGAGAATGGGGACTCTACAGAATGAGGAAGAAAGTTCTACCCCAGAGAATGGGGACTCTACAGAATGTGGGAGAAAGTTCTACCCCAGAGAATGGGGACTCTCTACAGAATGAGGGAGAAAGTTCTACCCCAGAGAATGGGGACTCTACAGAATGTGGGAGAAAGTTCTACCACAGAGAATGGAGACTCAACAGAATGAGGGAGAGAGTTCTACGACAGAGAATGGGGACTCTACAGAATGAGGGAGAAAGTTCTACCACAGAGAATGGGGACTCTACAGAATGTGGGAGAAAGTTTTACCACAGAGAATGGAGACTGTGCAGAATGAGGGAGAAAGTTCTACCACAGAGAATGGGGACTCTACAGAATGAGGGAGAAAGTTTTACCACAGAGAATGGAGACTGTGCAGAATGAGGGAGAAAGTTCTGCCACAGAGAATGGAGACTCTCGGCAGAATGAGGGAGAAACTTCTACCACAGAGAATGGAGACTCAACAGAATGAGGGAGAAAGTTCTACCCCAGAGAATGGGGACTCTCTACACAATAAGGGAGAAAGTTCTACCACAGAGAATGGAGACGCAACAGAATGAGGGAGAAAGTTCTACGACAGAGAATGGGGACTCTACAGAATGAGGGGGAAAGTTCTACCCCAGAGAATGGGGACTCTCTGCAGAATGAGGGAGGAAGGTCTACGACAGAGAATGGTGACTCCACAGAATGAGGGAGAAAGTTCTACCACAGAGAATGGGGAGTCTCTGCAGAATGAGGGAGAAACTTCTACCACAGAGAATGGGGACTCTCTACAGAATGAGGGAGAAAGTTCTACCACAGAGAATGGGGACTCTACAGAATGAGGGAGAAAGTTCTACCCCAGAGAATGGGGACTCTCTACAGAATGAGGGAGAAAGTTCTACCCCAGAGAATGGGGACTCTACAGAATGTGGGAGAAAGTTCTACGACAGAGAATGGGGACTCTACAGAATGAGGGGGAAAGTTCTACCACAGAGAATGGAGACTCTACAGAATGAGGGAGAAAGTTCTACCCCAGAGAATGGGGACTCTACAGAATGAGGGAGAAAGTTCTACCACAGAGAATGGGGACTCTACAGAATGAGGGAGAAAGTTCTACCACAGAGAATGGGGACTCTCTACAGAATGAGGGAGAAAGTTCTGCCACAGAGAATGGGGACTCTCTACAGAATGAGGGAGAAAGTTCTACCACAGAGAATGGGACTTTGATGCCCTACTTTCAATAATGGACACAACAGGCCGTAATCCCAGAACTTTGTAGGCTCAGGAGGGGAGATCACTTGAGGCCAAGAGTTCAAGACTAGTTGGACCAACATGGTGAACCCTTGTCTCTACAAAAAATATAAAAATTAGCTGGTGGTGATGGTGCAGTCCCAGCTCCTGAGGAGGCTGAGGCAAGAGAATGGCTTGAACCTGGGAGGCGGAGGCTGCGATTGTGCCACTGTACTGCCGCCTGGGTGACTGACTGAGACTCCATGTCGAAAAAAAAACAAAACAATAAAACAACTAGGCAGATAACCAGGAAACAGAAGACACGAACAATAATCTAAACCCATTGGCGCCACCAGGAGCAGCTCGCACACTCCACCCACAGCGGGGTACACATTCTTCTCAAGGGTACAAGTAACATTCTCCAGGATGGGTTGCGTTCTACACCGTAAAACAAACTCAGGCGGGGTGAGGCCAGAGGCCTCTGTTTTAACAACCACAGTGGGCTTTACGAGGAGGCAAGCAGACTTCTCAACGAGGCCTCAGGGCTGGGTGCAGTGGCTCAGAACTGGGTGCAGTGGCTCAGGACTGGGTGCAGTGGCTCAGGGCTGGGTGCAGTGGCTCAGGACTGGGTGCAGTGGCTCAGGACTGCAAACCCAGCACTTTGGAAGCCTGAGGTGCAAGGATCTTTTGGGCCAAGGACTTCAAGAAATGGGCATCATTTATTCAGCCAGAGTCTGGGAATTAGGATTAAATTAGCAAAGCAGAATTACAGAAAGGGCTATTTACTTTTAAGTAAACTGCTAGGATTTATTTAAACGTTAGTGTGAATGAACCTCACAGCCATGGTTGGAGCTCAGAAAGGATTTCCCTTTAGTTACACACCTGTGTTGGCACCTTATGACCTTCCTTGTAAAGTCCGGGGCGTTCCCAAGGATCCACAGCGTTGAGGGTCAGAGTTCCTGCACCACACTGTGACTTGTGAAAGTCTCTGTAGCCATGCACTTTCCCTGGAGCGTTGCTAAGGACTTCATTGGTTTCCCCACCTAAATTCTTGGCCTGAACGCCCACTTCATGTGGTGCCACCATGTCTAAAAACTCAGATCACAATCGATCGGTCAATTTTCCTGCCCTAGACGTGTGCCCAGGGTCTCACGATCAAGGCCCAATTGCTCAGCATGGCAGCTGGGGTCCTTCAGCTCCCCCACGCCCTCCTGGAGAGGCCAACCAGGAACCTTCTCACCCAGAAGCCACTCCCAGTCATTCTCACCCTTCCACTACTGGAGTCATCTCTGCCCAGCCCCATCCAGTCAATCACCAAGTGCTTGCTGGACCCCAGTCCCCTCCCCTCCCTCTGCCCAGGGTCCTGATTGACCCTTTCTTTTCTGCTCTGTCTTGCAGGCTGGAGTGCAGTGGCATGAACAGGGCTCATGGCAGCCTCAACTTCCTAAGCTCAAGTGATCCTCCTGGCTCAGCCTTCTGGGTAGCTAGGACTACAGGCACATGTCACCACACCTGCCTAATTTATTTTATTTTGTTGTAGAGATGAGGTCTTGCTATGTTGCTCAGGCTGGTCTTGAATTCTTGGGCAACTCCAGGACACGGTTAAAGAGGTGTTTCGTAAGTAACAGCGTGGTGTAGGAACTCTGACCCTCAAATTTGTGGATCCTCGGGAACACCCCAGACTTTACAAGGAAAGTCAGAAGGTGCTGACACAGGTGTATAACTAAAGGGAAATCCTCCTTTCTGAGCTCCAACCATGGTTGTGAGGTTCATTCACCCTGACTTAAAAAACAAACAAACAAAAAAAAACTCAGCAGTTTACTTAAAAGTAAATAGCCCTTTCTATAATTCCAGTTTGCTAATTTAATCCTAATTCCCAGACTCTGGCTGAATAAATGCCCATTTCTCCAGATGGGGAGTCTCTGGTCATCCTGGGCCTTCCCTGTTGGTTGGAAGGTGCCTCAGGAAGAAGGGGGTGGATCCACACTGGAATTCTGAGTTGAGTCAGACCCTCAAAGGGCCCTCATGGGAGCAGCTCTAAAGTGACCGCTGCCGTGGGCCAGAATGCAGAACTGCAGGAACAAAGCATTCGCAGCCAACTGCATTGTATTAAGTGATTTTCCGGAGCAGGAAGTTGCATCTGGCCTGCGGTTCGGCGGAGGGAGTAAAAGGGTGGGCGCACCCGCTCCTGGCCGACGCACCTGCCTGGGGGCCCCACGCGGCGCCGCGTGTGCCGAGCACTCCTGAGGGTGGAAAGCCCCACTCAGAGCAGGTGGCAGCGGCCCTCCGAAGACGGGACAGGACGGAGCTGGAGCTTTGGGGCCACTCAGCCAGCATGGCGTCTCCCCAGCAGTGGTGCTCACACGTTAGGTCAGGAAGCCCCAGCAACAGTGACTGCCCAGTCTCCAGAAAATACTGGACGGGGTGGATGAATACCCGAGCGCGCTGCAGGAGAAGGGATTTGGCACCCCAAGGGGCTTTTAAAACGGTAAGCTTCTAGGGGTGTATTTGCCCCAATAATCCATAGAAACAACAGTAATCTAAAAATAGTCTTGTTTTCTGTCCTAAGCTCCTTTTAACTTTGTTAGTCATCACCAATCCTAAAATAAAACCCGTGTAACGTCTCCCCTAGTAGCGGCTATAAACAAACCTGCGAGGAGGCAGGAGGCAGAGGAAGGGGCGCAGGGCGCGCGGGGAGCAAGGCGGGCGGAGCCGGGGCCCGCGGTGGCCGCAGAGGCCGGGCCGGGGCGCACAGGCCGGGCGAGCTGGCCGCGCTCGGGCCGCCGCCTCCGGAACTCCCAGCGCCTGGCGCGCGGCCACCGTGGTCCCGGCAACGGCATTAAACAGAGAGAAACAGACCCGGGATTCCGTCACCCGGGCGGGGGGATAAGGAGGGCTTTCAGCGCAGACAGGAAAACGGAGCTTTTCTGCAAGGGGTGAAAAAATTATTTATTGAAGGAGGAGGAGGAGGCAGCGGAGGAAGGGGAGGGGCGGGAGGAGGAGGAAGAGCGGCCGCCCCCGCCCGGGTCCCGGCCCCTCGGTAGCCAAGAGCAGCCAGGCCCGGTCGGTCCCCGGCTCGAGGCCCGCGGCAGGGTCGGGGGCTCCGTCTCCCACGTGACAGGCTGGGAGCGTCCCCCAGACCTGGCCCCGGGATTCCCTCCTCCCGGCGAGTCTCCGCCCGCCCCGTCCCAGAGGTGGGGGGAAGAGGGGCGGGGAGGGGGACGGAAATTCTCCCAGCCAAATCCTGGCTCCAGGCCTGGGGACACCGAGACTCGCGGCGGGAAGGTTTGGCGCTGGGGGCTGGGAGGGCGCGGCCCGGGCGTCCCCTGGCGGCCGCCTCTCTGGAGCCCCCGAGGCCTCCACCCCCGCCCACCCGCCTGGGCGCCCTCGCGCGGTCCCCTTCTCTCCTGACGCCCGGTGCCTCGGGCGGTGCCAGGCCTGGCTCGGCGCGCAAGGGGCCCCACAGGTAGCGATCCCTGGAAATGGCCCCCACCCCGCTTCTCCGGGCGCGCGTCTCCAGGCCCAGGCCTGCGGTGGAAAAGCGGGTTCTATTGGTGCTGAGTCGGGGTGGCCGAATGGAGCCAGGCCTCGGGCTGTGGATGGACGGCTCTGGCCGCGCACCTTCACGGTTCTGCAGCTCCCGATCGCGTACCCGGCCTCTCCCGAGTCTTGGGCGGCGCTTGTGTGGGCACCCACGGGGCACGGTGCTCCCCCGGGGGTCTGCGGACCTCCAGGCCCCCGCCGCAGACAGGATTTTTGCCTTTGGGTATCACATGAGGGTGTCGTGCGGTCGATTAATGATTTCTACACACCAGATACTTTAGCGTCCAACCCCCTCCATGCAAAGCCCACAAGAAAATGCGGTGCCGCGTTGGCATCTGAGCTGCGCCCGGGGAGACGCGGGGAGACGGGAAAGGGGAAAGTGTGAAGTGGCTGGGGCCGACCTCCCCGCCCGCAGAGCCGCGCGGTCGCGCCGGTAAAACACTCGTCCTCCCCTGCAGGTGAGCGCGTCCCTCGGCCTCCCCACTACGGCCCCGCCACGGCCAGTCTGGGTCGTGCAGATATTTGCAGAATAAAAATGACAATAACGACGTCCCGGGACGGCCACGCAATCTGTTAGTAATTTAGCGGGATGGGAATTTCCTTTCTAGGGCCTGCCAGTGAAGCGCTTTTCCAAATTTCCACAGCGGGGGAAGCCTGCGATTTTACATAATGACTTCAGCATGTTGGGCTTTTGCGGTAGCCCTCCCGGACCCCCCGACCCCCGCCGCTTTTCAAAGCAGGGCCGGCTCTCTCCGGACACCCGCGTGGACTTAGGCTTCCCGTCTGGCCTGTTCACCCCGTTTCCCCCGCCGGCCCCCGTATCCCCCCTGTACGGCCCCAGGCGCCCCTGCGCCCCCATCCCCTCCCCGTGTGCCCCCCTCTTGTGCGCGCCCCTCCCCGTGTGCCCTGTCCCTGTCCCCTCCCGAACGTACCCAACGTACTCCTCCCGTGCGCGCCCCTCCCCGTGCGCCCCCGTCCCCTCCTGAGCGCCTCCCTCCCGCGCGCGACCCTCCCTGTGCGCCCCTGCCCCCGGGCGGGCGGCTGCCGCGGCGCGGGGAGAAGGGGCGGGCGCTCCGAGACTCGTCCCTGGGGCCCAGCGCGGGCCGGGGCAGCAGCGGCGTGATGTCACGGCAGGGAGGGGGCGCGGGAGCCGCCGGGCTGGCGGGGAGGCGGGGGAGGTGTTTTCCAGCTTTAAAAAGGCAGGAGGCAGAGCGCGGCCCTGCGTCAGAGCGAGACTCAGAGGCTCCGAACTTGCCCGCGGAGTCGCCGCGCCAGATCCCAGCGGCCGGGCGCGGGCACCAGGGCGGCGGGCGCAGGGGTCGGAGCCACCTCGCAGGTCCCAGGGCTGCGGCCGGGCCCCGCCACGCGCGCACACGCCCCCCAATGACTTTCCTCCCGAGCGCGCGGCGCTGAGTCCGAGGCGAGGGCTGCCTTTCCCGGAGACCCGACCCCGGCGGCTCCCGCGCCTCCTCCCGCCGCCCCACTCCCCGCCGCCGCGCGGATGCCAAGCACCAGTTTTCCAGTCCCTTCCAAGTTTCCACTCGGCCCTGCGGCTGCGGTCTTCGGGAGCGGAGAAACTTTGGGGCCTGCGCCGCGCACTATGAAGTCGGCGGAGGAAGGTAAGCCCCGCGCGCTCGCCGCCCCCGGAACACTGCGCCCCCCGCCCCGCTCCCGCCGCCCGCACCGAGGGGTCCCGGCCCCTGGGCGAGGCCGGCCGGGTCTGGGAGCCCAGGGAAGGGCGCGGTGCGGATCGGGAACAGCTTCCCCCAGCTCCCCGCACCCGGTTCCGAGCGCGCCTTCTTGCCAATAGGTGTCTCCTCTGCCCCAGCGCTGAGGGCGCCAGCCGGTTGGGCCGCAGCGGGTCCCGCCGAAGAACGGCTCCCAGGCCGGCGATTTGGGGACGGGTGAGGCTGGGGCCAGCGGGACCGCAGAGGACACGTGGGAGGAAGGGAGGCTTCCTTGGGAGTGAAGGATGCCCTGTGTCCTACGGAGCGAGGCAGGCCCACCCTTTGGCACCAAGAGCGCGGTTTGGGGTTCAGCACCTTCCCACCCCCACCCTGAGCTCAGGGCCGCCTCTCCCCCGCGCTGCGCTCCCGAGCGCCCCAGGGCCGAGCCCGTCACGCCGGCGCCTGAACCTGCAGGACCCAAAGCGCGGCCGCAGCACACCCCCGAATTTAAGACATTTTGAAACGCTATTCGCAAGAGTTCCAGCCAGAGAAGATGTTTCAGGCAAGTTTGAAAAGGGGCCACCAAGTTTCAAGTTGCTTCTTTATAGCGGAAAAAAAAAAAAAAAAAAAAGGCGGCACCATGTGGGTCACTGAAACCGGGTGTCGGGGGCGCTGAGAGCCCCCTGCAGCGGAGCCTCACGTTCCAGTCCCCTCCCTTTAATCCGTCCGCTCCACACACCCCTGGGGAGGCCGGGTGGGCTCCTGCAGGTGCCTTTGAAAATACCCCGGGAGAGATGTGAGCGTCCTAGTCAGGGATTGGGGGTGCAAATGCTAATGGAAATTGGGAGACGCTTTTCCAGATTCCTCACCAGCTCTAAAATATTTTATGTGATTTTCTTAAAGAGCACCGGCACACCTGCCAATCTGTGCATTTCATAAGGGCCGACGTCCCTCCCAGCGCTGCCTCTTTCTGCGCGACGCTAATCACTGCGGGGCTTGCTGGAGAACTGGGCTCCGCAGCTCCGGAGAACTCGCTGGTCTCAGCAGAGCTGAGCGCTGGGCCATGAGCTCCACGGAGGGGATCCGAGTGGTCAGTGCCCTGAGCCTCACGAGGCGGGAGGCAGATGCGGCTCAGGCTGCTCAACATTTCATCCCGACGTTAGAAAACGTTCGCATGTTTAAACATCATGGCCTGTGTCGATGTTTACACAATGTGATCTTGCTAGTAGCAGAGTTTTAAAATGTTTCTTGTTGGAGTTTCGGTTTTAAATCCTGGGACACTTATTCCCGGCGTTCATGCTCACTCCTTTCAGAAAGGCAGGTCTTTCTGAGTTCAGATCTAGGTACCTGAAGAGCCAGTGCCCGACCTGTAGTTAATAAGGAGCCCTTTTACCCTATGGGGGAAAAAAAAAAAAAAACCAGCGAGGATAGTGGCTGTTTTTCGTGTTTCCTACCGAAGGAAAGCAGCTGGAAAAGGCCCCGCTGCCAGGCAGTGGCTCCGGCAGTGAGCCCCTACCTGACATTGCGGTATTTGATGAGGGCTGCAGACTGAGCCGGCAGGAAAGTGTGATCCAGTCCTTAACTTAGGCCGGCATGGGCACGCGTGGCTTCAACACCGGCCATCGCTGAGGCCACCGGGAAAGCTCTGGGTCCTTCTGAGTAGGCCCCACGAGGCCGTCCTTGGCCCATCTGAGGACTTGGGCGCCTCCCCCGAGTCCCTCGGTTTCGGGCTCATCTGGGTGGAAGCTCATTAGGCACCGCGGTTGCTGATGGCCCGGACTTGCTTCCTCACGGAGAATGCAGAGGTGCAGGCCTGTAGGCAGCCACCCAGTCAGAAGTCGCTCCAGACAGAATGCCTCACGGGCTGGGGCAAACAAAGCTCACTCTGTTCTCTGCCACTTCACGGCGTTGTTTCCCAGTCCAGATTAGAAAGTGGCATGGCGCTGGCACCCCGATTAATCACACCCAGTGGGTCTCTGCCTCCGCAGACATCCCCAGCCTCTGGTAGGATGTATCCAAGCTAAACACTTCCGTGGAGACACCCAGTGTCTGAGAAACGGGCAACTTTGAATATAGACCAATAGCTCTGAAGCATTTGCAGGAAGGCCAGCACTGGGGGGAGGGGAGGGCAGCCGCCCCACCGACCCCTCCTTTGGGATGGAGACCAGTGCAGCCCTAGGACAGCCCGGTGAGCCTCCATCCCTGCAGGGCCCACAGCCCCCGGGGCCACCAGCAGGCAGGACAGTTTAGCAAAAAGTGTCACTCTAAACAGATGATAAGGGCTGTCATTTGTGTATAATTTTTCAGTGGGAGTAAAGAGGTGGCTGGAGTTAAAAATATATATATATATACAGGCCAGGTACCGCGGCTCCTGCTTGTAAACTCAGCACTTCGGGAGGCCGAGGCAGGTGGATCACGAGGTCAATAAATCAAGACCGGCCTGGTCAACATGGTGAAACCCCGTCTCTGCTAAAAATACAAAAATTAGCCAGGCGTGGTGGGGGGTGCCTGTAGTCCCAGCTACTCGGGAAGCTGGGGCAGGAGAATCGCTTGAATGCGGGAGTCGGAGGTTGCAGCGAGCCGAGATCGCACCACTGCACTCCAGCCTGGTCGACAGTGAGACTCCCTCTGAAACAAACAAAACTGTACAATGAAAAGGGAGAAAATGAAACAACGTGGCTTCTCGACAGAAAACAGAACTTCCACTTGCCCAAGGTCAGCAAAAACAGCAAACTAAAGCGAAACAACCCTCCAACATCCATGCAAAGTGAGGACAATTATTAGAAACTAAATCAGGCCGCGCCGAACTCTGGTTTATCGCAGGAGAACCCATCCATTGAAAGGGTCGCGGCGGGTTTCTGGCCTCTGGAAAAGGCAGTGCAAGCTGGGCAGGCCAGGCCCGACGCAGCGCTCCGATGAGTATTCAGGTGGCCAGGCTTGACACCCGCACCCCGCCCTCCGGGCCAACCCCTCCCCGCACATCCTCCCACCATCCCCCTGCTGTTCCAGATGTCCTGTTTACGCGGTGCCCAGACCATGGCGGGAGTTAGAACACGCGGCTGGAGCTGCAGCAGCCCGGCCTTCCCGCTCCCCGCCGCGCACAAGCTTCGGGCCGCCTGGGGTGGGACCCGAACCCGCCTTCCTGCCCCGCTCAAGAAGGTCGTCTTTGGAGGTGCCCCTGGAAGGAACGACAGGTTCCCCGTGGGGCGGGGGCGCGCAGGGCGGGTGTTTTGAGGCCGGGTACCCGCAGGGGTTTGCAGGCCGAGGCGTGCGCCACGCACCCCGCGGGAAACCCTGCGCTTCCCGGCGCCGTCCGGCTGAAATCCGGGTTCCCAGCGTTGGCGACCTCAGGCTGGGTCGCCCCCACTTCCCAGGATTCCGCGGGGCGCACAAGTGGCCCTCGGGGGCCACTGGGGCCACCACTTTCCCGAGAAGGCCCAATTCCAAACTTAAAAAAAAAAACCTTTAAACAAATTCGGTCTCCCAGGGCGCAACCTCGTGAGCCTGGTGCCGCCTGTGCCCTGGGGGCGGAACCGCGGGGTTCCGGGTCTTGCCCCCCCTTGGGGCCGAGCTGGCCAGGCCGGAGTGGCCGGGGGTCCCGATGCCCCCACCCCATGTCGGGAGGAGCCTGCGTCGGGCTGGGACCCCCAGAGCGCAAGAGGCCGGGGACCCCAGGGGTCGCACGCGCGCGCGAGGGGCGGGGGGCGCGGGAGGGACACGAGCCCTCGGCCGGCGCTCCGCCCGGGGAGTTTATTTAAAACTCGGAAGCCGGCGGCCGCGAGCCGGTTGTTTATGTAAACCCGGAAACGCCCCGGGGGGGCGGGGGCGGGGCGGTAACGGGGGAGGGGCGGGGGTCACGTTACGCGGAGGACGCGCGGCCAGCTCCGGGAGCGCTGAGCCCCGAGCCCCGAGCCCCGAACCCCGGGCCGCGGCGACCTCGACCCGGTCCCGGCCCCGGCCCCGCCATGACGGGGCTGGAGGATCAGGAGTTCGACTTCGAGTTCCTCTTCGAGTTTAACCAGCGGGACGAGGGCGCCGCCGCGGCCGCCCCAGGTGGGTCGGGCCGGGAGGGCGCGGGGGGCGCGGCTGGTCGCGCTGTGCTGGGGGCGCAGGGCTGGGTCGGGGTTTCGGGGCGCCCAGGCCTCCTCTGCGTCCTCGTCGCTCCCCCGGGACCCCAGGAGTCCCCGGCGCGCCCCGGGCAGAGGCGCCTGCGGCCGGGCGGGCTTCGGTGCGGGACGTCCTGGGCTCGGACGTGGTTCCTCCCAGCGCTCGCGGCGGGGACCCGGGGGGAGGGCGCGTCCTGGGCACCGACGTGGACGCGGTCGTTCGGGACAGAGGGTCGGCGGCGCTGCCGGAGGCGGGGAGGCCCCCAGCTCTCCCAGCCGACCTCCCCCAACCCGGCTACCCTCCTCCTCCCCGCTTCCCCCAACCACCCAGCCCCCCAGCCACCCTCCTTCCCCCGCAGCTACCCTCCCTCAGGCCCCGCTCCCCCGCCGTGCCCCCCACATCCCCGCAGACCCCTCTAGGTCTCCAACTTTCAAGTTTACCCCAGCTACTGTGACCCCAGTCTTTTCTTTTTCTCTTCTCTGGGTCAGAAATAAAGGTTCTAGGTAAACAAACAGCAGATAACTCCCTTCTCCTGAGCAGCCGTGATGGAGCTCAGCAGGCGTCCCTGGGCCGGGCCGGGCCTCTCCTGCTGCCCTGAGGGCTCTTCTGTCCAGGTCACCCCAGGCTGGTCCCCGTCCGCCCCTGTCTGCGCCCATCCCCAAGGCCTCTGTCGGCCCTGCCCGTGCGGAGGTGAAGCCAGAGGAGCTTGGCAGGCAGGGACCTCCGTGTCTGTAATGAGCGTCATATTTTCCATATCATTCACTACCCTCTTTTAAAGAAGTCTGACATCTTCATTGTTTTTGAATATAAGTGCTCCAACCAGACCCGTGTTACCTGCGGCTGGT